TAAAGCAGTCTGATTTCTTTTTCCAGGCCTCTACCTGAGTGTGAAAAAAAAAGGAGATGTTGCTGATTTATAAGCTTGATTGAGCTTTTAGAGCAGTGTTTCTCAACCTTTCTAATGCCGCGACCCTATAATACAGTTCCCCATGTTGTGGTGACCTCCAACCACTTATACATCACCGGGTGCCAGGGGCGTGGCCAAAGAAAAGGGGGAAAAATGGCGGACAGCCTTGTTTGGCGACCCCCGTGAAATGGTCGTTCGACCCCAAATGGGGTCCCAACCCACAGGTTGAGAACCACTGTTTTAGAGCTTTTATAACCTTTATTCCTTAAAGTGGTGGCATTTATTTTTTAGACTTGAATCAAGATGGTGTGCTTTAATGAGCAGGAAAGCTGCACTGGACTTTCATGAGGCCCGGTGCACTTTTTGGGAATAGGTTTTGAAGCATGCACTGCCCTAGTAATTACAATTTGTTCATACTGTTTCTTTGAAAACGGCTACAAATTTCTAGTAACCCAGAATGCCACAGACTGAGGTTATACATGCCAGTCTCATTTGCTGCCTTGGTACCCAACTTCTTTCCTGGGCAATTTGAGATTTTGAAATGACTTATTTTTCAGCTACTTTCTGAGCTTTCTCTCCGTGAGGGACAATTTTGGTGGCAACCTGAGATGAAGAGCTGCTTTTTTTTTTTTTTTTAATGGCAGGGACTTTTTAGCAAGGAAGCTCAGGGCAGGCTAGTTCCGTCCGTATGTTTGCGGCTGGCAAGCAAACACTTTGTTATACTGACAGCGTTTTGGCATCTAAGCTGATCTGTTTGCTGAAGGAGGTGGTCTATATTTTCCTTTTTTCTATCTAAATTTATTTTCCTTTATGATGTTGCATCACGGCAGGGTTTTGTCAACTTGGGTTATCACATCAGGAAAAGAAGAAATAATGTATTTTTTAGGAACTCAGTGTACGCTGATTTCAACTGGTGATAGCAGAAATTAAGCACTTAGATAAGCAGATTTCTAGCAGACTTTGTATGATTTGGATATACGGGAACATCTTGGTCAAGTGCATTTTTCACCTCCCTCCTCAAATAGCATGGAAATGCAGTAATCAAAGAACTGATTGTAGTGAGTCTCTGCTATTTAGTGGGTAGCAGGCATAATATCCAGTGCAGCACAGATACAGACAAAATGGCAGTGCTTAGTTACTATGGTGACCACCTTGGGTATGACTTTTCAAATAGAAATAGACTTTATAATAGAATATTTCAGTTTATAGTATGTTCCTGGAAGGAAGTGGCAGATTCTATAAGTAAGCTGCAACTGTCTTAAATGAGAATTTGCTTTACTGCAAGGTTTTTAATTGTTTGTAGTTTTCTATACGTATTTTACTACATCAGTTAGCTCTGAGTTAAGAATTTTACCATCTGTCAAATAAAAGGTTGCCAGTTATAATACCTGTAGTAAGTTTATTGAAAGCAATGGTGGTGTCAGCTTTATGAGGTAGACCAGAGCTGGAAACAGACTCTGTAGCAAGTCTAGAGCTGTTCTTCATTGGGATTGATTACAATAGTGGCATTGTGCAAGACTGATTGTAATTTACCTACTCTTATTTTAATTTTTATCAAATAAACTAGCTTTGGAGTCCTTCTTTTTAGTTCTGAAAATGTTAATTAAAATATTGCTATATAATTTGATCTGACTTCAATTCTTCTTTCTCCCATTACAAAGGCTTCTTTGAAGCTTTAACAAGCCTGTTTTCTAAATCCCTAAAAAGAGATATTATAATTGTCTTGGTTAATCATTTATGTATTTATTCATTTTTTATAGCCATCTCAGCCAAATGACTCTGGGCAGTTCACAATGCTAAGTACTATAGTTATTAACACTTCAGCCAGCTTCTTTTCAATATCCGTTAAAATGTTCGTATTTGGGTCATTCTCTTGATTTGTCACTTGTATTTTGACTTTAAATGCCTTTTTTATTTATAATCCACATTTCTTAATCCAATATTTCTGATTTTACTATTTCTGCATCAGGCAAGATTAGTTTCACGTCTGTCATTCCTTCATTAACACTGGATGGTTGTCTATCCGTAGAAGTGTATGTTGTTACTGATATCACAGTTACTAATTTCTGGCCCCATTCCTCAAAGATCTTCTCTCTGAAGGCAGGACAAGAAGCAACGGGTGGAAACTAATCAAGGAGAGAAGCAACCTAGAACTAAGGAGAAACTTCCTGACAGTGAGAACAATTAATCAGTGGAACAGCCTGCCTCCAGAAGCAGTAAATGCTCCAACACTGGAAGTTTTTAAGAAGAGACTGGACAGCCATTTGTCCGAAATGGTGTAGGGTTTCCTGCCTGAGCAGGGGGTTGGACTAGATGACCTCCAAGGTCCCTTCCAACTTTACTATTATTATTATTATTATTATTATTATTATTATTATTATTATTATTATTATTATTATTATATTTAAAAGCTGAAGCATTTTGTATCATTTTGTAAATTCCAATACTGATCAAAACTTTTGGTTTACATGTTTTCCCCCCAGAATCTTTAATCCCCTGTAGTGTTCAATTTAAATCATAATGTCAATGTTGCTAACATTGGATGTTCCTGCTCTGACAACTGATGAAAATGCAGCCATTTTCTCTTCTCCTTTAACATGCTTTTCTTACTTATTCAAGTGCAGCAGGGAGGGTGGGTGGGATGTAAGCTCAGCTAGCCATAATAATAGTGCTGCTGTGGGAACTCAAGGACAAACTGATAATGTTTGTTGGGCTGAAGAGCTGAGGAGAAAGCCCGTGCTTGAAGCTAATTGGGGAATGTGTTTTATGACAGTATATTGGGGGTGGGAATTGTACTTTGTTACTTTGTATCTGGGGGAAGGGAATTTAGTTTTTGGGTTCAACTATGTAATGCCGATACTTTGTTTCCCAAATAAAGGTTCTTTAAGGAAGAATTTTGCATTAAAGTTCTTTTGATTGGTTTCATCTATCGGAACTGTAACACATAATCTATATATGATATAACTTACAGTAGACAAAATAACCTTTTTCACCATGAAAAGCTGTTTATTTTATATAGTTAGTTCCAAAATCTTATAGTAAAAATTTCAAAGTTCCAAAATTTTTAGTAGTAGCACTAGTAAATGCATTGCAATCAAAAGACCTAGCATGATTTTTTATTTAAGTGAGAAATCTAGACCTTCTCATGCCTGTCAGGTTAATTCTATTCACATAATCAAATGCAAATAAAAAGCTTTCATCTGTTGCCCAGTCATTTGTATAACATTTCCAAAGTGCCCGATTTCTTCATTCATCAAATCACATTCTGACTAATGCTAAAGGAATCAGAGAGTTAGCCTAGTCTAAGTGGAAATGCCAAGTACTGCTCTTTAGCAAGGAACAGGTTTATTTTCAGTTTAGATTCATTTCTATCATGGAACATTAGTGCCAAAAGTTATGCCTACACATGTAGGATTAGGTGCCTGGCTTTAAGAAGAGCATAGTTGCTTGTTTTTGTTTTCTTGGGGAAAAAAATGCAAGAAATAGTTTGGGATTCTGATTGCTGGCCCAGTAAATTCAAATGCCACTGTGTGTTACTGCTTGCTTGCTTATTTATTTAACATGTTTCCTTTCTGCTTGGAGGACACTCATTATATATAAACGTATAAGATCAGCACTGAGAAAAAAGGGGGAAAAATCCAAGGTAATACCTGTTATTGTTGTCTATTGTCTATTTAAGAGCTATATTATTTCTAAGGTAAGCTAGGAGCCATGTGCTTGCAGGAGTTGGTATAATTGGGTGAATTCTTTTTTTTTCTTGTGTTCATATACCTAAATCAGAAGGTGCTTTGTTACCTCCAAATTCAAGTTGAAATTTTTGTTCATCACTTTGCAGTTTAGGCAAACTTTTAAATGAACAGATAGGTATTAACTCAGCACTTTAAAAATAACAAGTAGTAATAAGTAGGTGTTTTTTTAAGGCTGCTTTAATTAGGGTATTTGTGTAATCAATGTGGAACACGGTGTGTTCCATGGTGTAATCAATGGAACAACCTGCCTCCAGAAGTTATGGATGTTCCAACATTGGAAGTTTTTAAGAAGAGATTGGACATTTGTCTGAAATGGTATAGGGTTTCCTGCCTGAGCAGAGGGGTTGGACTAGAAGATCTCCAAGATCCCTTCCAACTCTATTATTCTGTTATTTATGTCTTCCTGGTTGTCAAGAGAGCCAGTCCTTCAGAGCGCTGCATAGATTGTATGTCTAATCCAGTGGTTCTCAACCTGTGGGTCGGGACCCCATTTGGGGTCGAACGACCATTTCACAGGGGTCTCCAAACAACACAGTCCGCCATTTTTTCCCCCTTTTCCTTAGCTGTGCTACTCCCTTTTATTCTATTGGCTTTTGAAAGCCAATAGAATAGACTCTCTTGAATAGAGTCTAATTCTATTGGCTTTCAAAAGCCAATAGGAATTGTCCAGGCTGTCTCTGCCCTGCTGAGCTCGCCAAAAGTCCCATTCTGCAAACGGTGCTGCACCAGTTGAGTAGTCCTCGACTTATGACCAGTTGAGTAGTCCTCGACTTACGACCGGTTGGGGGTCGCGGCATTAAAAAGGTTGAGAACCACTGGTCTAATCTGAAGCCAGTTCAAATGTACATAAAATAGAGCAAGAGACATGCATCTCCAAACAGCTTTCCTTAGATATTGTTGGTTTCTCTTCAACAATTCAAAGCTATTGATGCACCATGGAAACCATAAAAGATGTAGCTTTTTCCTCCATAAATCGAATTCTATTGGGCATGTTTGCCACAATTATCTCAATCAGCCTTACAAGGATCGCTGTTAAGTAAAGCTTCATTCCAACTGCTGAATTGGACAGATTATATTGTGCTCTTGGTTATGCTTTGCTTAACCTATAGCTGATGTCTAGTTTGACATTTTCTGTTGTTCAAACTGATTTTTCAATCTATAACTATGCCCGCCCCCCACTCCCCATTTCAGGAGGACAGCCAGATGATTGAAGAGGTACAAACAGACAAAATAGAAACCCTGGAAAGAAAATATGCAGAAGCACTTAAGAGGCTATGGATGGATCCAGGTATCCAGGAGTGCTACCACCGACGGAGAGAATACCAATTGTCAGACTCAGCTAAATAGTAAGTATGGTAATCTTTCCAAATTTCACTTTGGCTATTTTAAAATATTTTTAAAATTGTATGGCTTATGATTGCTTTATTGTATGGAATGTTAATGAATAGATTTTACTAAGTGTGCATGTTCAGTTTTTATGATCTTGGAACAGTTAATAAAACATAGTTGAAACAAATGCACGACAGGATCATGTAGTATTTCTCTGGTTGGAACTGGAAATTCTCCCCCCCCCCTTTCTTTCCTCTTTGGGGGAGGTCCTTGGAGGGCTGCAGTGAGTTTGTTGACCTAGTGACATCGTTGGAGGCTCAAAGCTGAAAGTTTTAAGTCTCTTTTCAGAGGGGGGGGGCGCATTGAGTTTACCCCAATTTTGATAGATCTTCCAGAAGCTTGGTTTTTGTTTTCTTTATTAGGGAAGAAATATTGCTATCGAAAAAATAATTGTAATGCCAAATTTTGATCACATTGTTGTAGGAGACTTTGTTATCAGTATAATGCAATTTTTTTTCTGTGTGAGGGATATGCATATAAAATGTTTCCAGTCGATTGTCCTTCTTTGTTAAATATTACAAGTGCTTCCTGTACATTATCTAGCTACCTGTAGAATAATTGGATATTTTATCTCTGAAGCTATCATCATCTTCATCTTACACACTTTGCTCACCAAAGCAACTCTGAATACATACAGATAATTGAATTTAAAAACAGAAATAAAGTAATATCAAGATGCACATATTTCAGATCACATCAGGGAACAACATTAATGGGGAACAATAATCAAGAATTGGAGTTACAGATCACTTTTATCTCAGTTTCTGCTGGACAAGTCAAATCTTTAGGGGTCTTCTGAAAGCCAGCAGGTTCACAACGTATAGGCTTCAGAAGGAGGATATAGGGCTGTGGCAGATATAGAGAAGCATTACAGCTCTCTGTAAACTTAAAGTAGAAGTAAGATTTCCACAACAGCATCCTGATTTTAAATTTTAATACATTTATATTTAACAAAATAGATTTTAAAACCTTTTTTTTGCTATATTAGTTTCATGTGAAATACCATTTTTAGTCTGTTGGATTAATTTATAATCATGTAAAATGCATGAACTAAACAGATGTGTGGCTTTGATTTTGAAGTTTCCTTTCAGATTTAGAACGTATTGCTATGCCATCATTTGTGCCAAATGAGCAAGATGTCCTCAGAGTGAGAATACCAACCACTGGAATCATTGAATATCCTTTTGTGCTACAAAAAGTTATTTTTCGGTAAGTCTATCCTTAAGGCCTTCTCCTAGTCATCCTGATTATCACAAATTATCAAAAATTGCACCAGTTGTTTTCAGTAAACAGATAACCAAAGGAAATACATAAGACTAGATAAATCCTCTCCAGTCTTGTTTCACCTTTCCTATTATGCTGCATCTATTTCCATCTGTAAATAAAGAATTTCAGAATCATAAAATCAAGACTTGAAAAATATTATTTCAGAGGTCAAGTCCAAATTAAAATGCCCATGGGGGAAGGCTAACCTGCTTTTGCTTGATCATAGTCAGTGAAAAGAAGCATTCCGTCTGTAATTGGTTCCATTGTTCAACTGTGCTTAATTTAAAAATCTATTTCCTAATCCCTGTCAGTTGTCCGACTCTGGGGAATGGTGCTCATCTCAGTTTCTTGGCCAAGGGAGCCAGCGTTGTCCAAAGACAATTTCCATGGTCATATGGCACACATGGCTATATGCCAAAGGAGCATGGAACGCTGTTATCTTCCCATTGAAGTAGCAGCTATTAATCTACTTATATTCGCGTGTTTTTGAACTGCTAGGTGGGCAGGAGCTGGGGCATGTAATGGGAGCTCACCCCATTCTGCAGAGTTTAGTCTTGAACCCGAGCTGTCAGCTCTCCAACTGACAAGCTCAGTGTCTTTAACTGCTGAGTCATCGCGCCCCATATTTCCTAATCTGTATATTGCTAAAACTGTGGTTGACCTGACCTTTAACTGGATGAAACGGTGCATCATAGGGCAACAATTTTTGAATAAGGTACCTCAGCTGGACTCACTTACAGAATGTGTCCGAGATCCAGGACCCATGACTCCCAAGGAATGAAATTTGGGAAAGTTATGGCTGCTTCAGTGCTATTGGCTGCTGCAATCACCTAAGTTTCATTTTCAACAGTCCATGATAGTTTCCCAGCCAGTTTTGCAATCCCTTGCTCTTTCCCCCACCTGGCATGGGCAGCAGTAGGAACTGTTTCCTCGAGAGCTGCTACAGCCTGGTTTCAGTGTCTTCCACATTTGGATTCACTTTATTCAGTGCATTAGAAGTTAGGGAACAAAAAAAATAATTCTTGCACTATGCATGTTCACTGCTTCTCTTTTAGTGCAGCAGCCATTAGGAATGTGTGTTGTGGAAGAGTTGTGGAGATGGGATGAAGTTACACATTATTTGAGCCAACAATAGAATTGGTACTAATGAAGCTCAGATATCAAACTTCACCGTTGAAATAACTTTTCCATCATCTTTGTAATGGAACATAATTTATCTGTTAATTTTTTCAAATGTAAAATGTAAAAATCAATTGTATAAAAATCAATATATTTTTCTAGCAAAGTGCAGCCTCAAGGTTGGTGCTTTGTGAAGTGTTTTTCAGGATGATTAGTTATTTATGCTCCTTTTGACAGAATGGTAGATGTTGGTGGACAAAGATCCGAAAGAAGGAAATGGATTCACTGCTTTGAAAATGTGACCTCAATTATATTTTTAGTTGCATTGAGTGAATATGACCAAGTCCTGGCAGAATCCCATAATGAGGTAGGAAAATGAAAAGTAATTGCTGTCATAAATAGTTATTCAATACTCAGGTGTGCATCTTAACAGATATTACTATGGAAGGCTGACTTTTGTGCCAGTTATCTAGGGGGGAAAAAGGAACTTGACAGAGAACAGACCAGCTATGCCCTTAACATAAAAACTATACCAACATAATTGGTTTGGACTTCTGACAGAGGTATATTCATGCTGAACAAAAATAATAAAACATTCATGGTTGGAAATAAACTAATATATGATTGATAATAAATAAATAAATGACAATAAATAACTTGATCTCAATTGAGCCTGGAATTTTGGCTATAAGTCACTGTGATTGTTAGGTGGGTCACCACATGACCTGATTCGATTTTACGACTGTTTTTCACAGGGGTTTGTAAAATGAGTCACCACAGTTCTTACACGAATGACATGATCATTAAGTAAATCCCTTTTTCAGAAAGGGCAGTTTTTGCCAGAAACTGACTGGAAACTGGCAAAAAAACAGCAAATTATGAACACATGACCGTGAGATGCTACAGCTGGTAGTCAATGCGAGCTAGTTGCCAAGCACCCAAAATGCAAATCATGTGACCATGGGGTGTATGCACATATGGCAATTTCAAGGATGGGCTGTATGTAATTTTTTTTTGGGGGGGGAATCTGTCATAACTTTGAATAATCTTTAAGTGACAGGTCGTTAAATGACTAATCAGCCACAAAATCAAACCCGGTGGCATCTCAATCAAGAAATGTTCTCTAGAAGAGTATAGTTTTTAGCACCTTCAAAGAAAGAGCAAGGGGACATAACTGAGATCTGCAGGGAGGCTGTTCCAAAGAAGGGCCAGTTCCTGAAGACCAATGCCTCTGAGCCATTGGTGGGATTCATATATGTGAACAACCAATTCTCTGTGTGGATGCCGCTTCTGTAAGTCCATTCTGGGCCTGGGCAACAAAAAATTAGCTATTGGTTCTACTAAACTGGTGCAAACCAGCGGAATCCCACCGTTGCTCTGAGCTGAATCAGATGGACCAAGTCTGGCTGGAGTATATGGTCCTAAAGGTGCCTAAGCGTCATGGCATACATAGGTCAAAACCGGAATTATACCTAAAAGCTGTTTGGAAACCAATCAGGTATAACTTTATTCCGGCCACTTGTGCTGGCTAACACATAGGACACTACTTCTACACCATCTGAAGCTCCTAAGTGATCTTTCAGAGACAATCACATGTACGAAGGGATAAAGGCCTGAATTCCTGCGACACAGTCCTGCTACAAGTAGGGCCAACAATTGGTGCACCAACCTGAGTTGGTCAAAGGTCCTTTGCCTACACCTTCCATTTGCTCACTGACATTAGCTTTGAGCATCCCCGAAGTCCTCCTTCAGTCTTTCTGTTCCTTCCTACTAATGGATTTTCTGATCTCATAATCTACATCACCCAAAGCATTCCACTAGGAGCCAGCCTCCAGGAACTTTGTACAGGTAGACTATGAGTTAGAAGGGCAATTGGGACCAGAATTTCCATCATTAAGCAATAGGATCATAAAACACAATGTCATGTGATTGCATTGCTTAACAATAGCAATCCCGATGGTGCCCATAGCCATTGTTAAAGAAGATTGTAGGTTGTTAAATGAGCATCATCCCCACAACTTCCTACCAGCTTCTGACAACCAACGTCAGCAGAAATTTGCAAATCCCTGGTGGATCGCAAGCAGGCCAACAGGCAAGTAGATGGCTGTTGCTGAATGGGAGAGAGTGCATAAGGGTGTGCAAATGCCCTGGAGGGCATACGGGTGGCTTTGGAGGTGAGTGCAGTACAACTTGGGGTGGCTTCTGCCGGGTGGGAGAGGCAGAGCGAGCTGCTGGGGAGGTATGGCACAAATGCAGCAAGGCTTGGGAAGGTGTGCAAGGGGGAACAACTGGTACAGACTTGGGATGGCTGCTCACAGGTAGGAGAAAGTGCACAAGTAGCTAGGGAGACACGGAGTGAGCTCAGTCTAAGGGGTTGTGAGGGTGTGTGAGCGTAGCAAGGCTCAGGGAGGATGCATGAGGATCCAGGAATGGTTTATGGGTGACCAGCAAGGCATATCAAGAGCGCAGAGGACGGAGCATGTTGCGTGGGTGGCGGGAGGCTAATCTGAGCAATTTACAATCTTCTCTACCAAGTTCCCCATTGACTTTGCTTGTGGGAAGCTGGCAGAGAAGGTTGCTAATCATGATCATGTGACCTTGGGACGCTGCAACTGTGTAAGTGGGAGCTGATGGCCAAGTGCCTATGTAACTATGGTGGTCCTGGGATGACAGGAACATTGAGGACAGGTCATGACCACCATCCTCAGCATTATAGTGACTTTGAACAGATGCTTATTGAACGGTCGTTAACCGGTATCACAATCCTACAGTCCATTGAAATCCTCCAGCACAGATAACTGCAACAATAACTATAAAGCACTCATAATAAACATTTCTAAGGAAGTGGTCTGCTATCAGGCAGCACCTCGATATTGTAGCAGTGCTATCTTAGTAATTCTTGTATCTTTGCAGTTTTACACAGTGCTTTTTTTCTTTAAAAAAAAAAAGGTGCCAGAACTCACACACATCATACAACTCACCTTGCCTACCCTACAAGCTTCCATCCAAAAAAGGTGTCGGAACTCCGTTCTGGGCGTTCTATGAGGAAAAAAAGCCCTGGTTTTACGTATGGATACATTTTAACGCCATGTTATTAGTCATACAGAAACATCACCATTCTTGGGACAGAATACTTGTTTTCTTGCCAACTGTGCCATTTGGAGGTGGTCCAGTAGTTTTCTGGAACTGTGCCAGCACCAAGCATTTCCTCTTCTAGGATATATACTTTTGCAAAACTATTGCACTACTATCCCCAAAAGAAATGGATATTGTGTTCCTGAGGTGATGGGGAGGAAGTTTCAATGTTCCCAGGAACATTCTGTCCACAGGCCTGTGAAGTTTTCCCAACTCCCCATGTCTATTTTAAGATGTGTAATAAAGTTTATGGCATTGTCTAGATAGCTAATATACTTGCCCAATTTAATTACATTTTGTGTACATGTGAGGATGCAAATAATGGTAGAGTACATTTTGTTTTGAGTATTAAATAAAGGTACTTTAATTTTTGAAGATAACCTATTTAAAAATGCTTCTTTGTTCTTTTTATACTTCTTTTGTAGAATCGTTTGGAAGAAAGCAAGGCCTTATTTAAAACAGTAATTACCTACCCTTGGTTTCAGAAATCTTCAATCATCTTGTTCTTAAACAAAAAAGATATTTTAGAAGAGAAAATTATGTATTCTCATTTAATTAACTATTTTCCCCAGTTCACAGGTAAATAATTATTCTAAATAGGGCTTATCTCTGTTATGCAGGGGTATAATTTCTTCTATTCGCTTACACAATTGGCACTCTGTTGGTAAAACCTGTCAGCTATCACGGTTCTTTCTTATACTATCAAAATTTGTGTTATTTTATTACTTGGAATACTTAGTATGTATTACTATAATTGAAGTTACACATTATCAGATTCTAATCCTAACAGATGGATACTGATGCTAGAACAAAAAGTTATCATCTGTTCAATCCAGCATATTTTAAAACAATGGACTGGATTAAAATATCTATGCTTATACCAATAAACATTGAAGGCAAAAGAAGGGAACGATGGAAGATAATTAGCTCTGGGGTCCCCAACCCCCATGCCGTGGCCCACTACTGAGCCATGAGCCGCTCAGAACCGGGCCATGGAAGCAGCAGATGAGGATGCGTGCATGCATTCTCACTTGCGTGAACAGCAGGGGAGTCTTGCATGTACTTGCCGGCTGCTCACATGGAACCATCTCCTCTCCCCACCCCACCAGTCTGCAAATCCGGAAAGGTTGGGGAACTCTGAGTTAGATAATGTAATTGATGGAATAAACAAGAATTTGGGCAAACTCCAGGAGACGAGGAGAGCCTGGCGTGCTATGGCCCACGGGGTCGCAAAGAGTCAGACATGATTTAGCTACTGAACAACAATTAATAAACATAAAAACATATTTGGCGTTCTCAATCTGGGTTTCTTAAGTTATCAATTTTGATTTTGAACAGGACCAAAACAAGATGTCAAAGCTGCTGGAGAGTTCATTCTGCAGTTATACAAGGATCAGAATTCAGACAAAGACATCTATGCCCACTTTACATGTGCCACCGACACGGAGAACATTCGATTTGTGTTTGCAGCTGTTAAAGACACCATCCTTAATCTGAATCTAAAGGAATTCAACCTGGCATGAATAAAAAGGGAATCCGCTACATACCTTTGACTATACTGCAATTTTATTTATTACTTATAAAAGATATTCTGTGTAATAGATTTTTAACAATTGTTTGTGTCTTTGCTGAACCTGGAAATAAGGTTAGAACTTTTTAAGGAATAGGTTTTGAATATTCTGCTTTTAATTTTTTGGAGGGGATTTGTGAGCCTTTTGGTCATAATCACAGAGATCCTTTTACCTTTCATAATTTATAACAGATGTGCATTTGAACCTCGTTAAGGCCACAAGAATGATAGTTTTGAGACTAATTGTATTGCTGTTATTCAACAGAAAGAGGGGTGCTTAGATCTGAGTACTTATTAAATCTACCATATTTTCCGGCATAGAAGATGACTTTCTAAACCATGAAAATCTTCTCAAAAGTCGGGGGTCATCTTATACACCGGAAAATATGGTAGTCTTATACGGCGAGTATAGCCCAAACTCTATATTTTAACTGGAAAAGTTGGGGGTTGTCTTATACGCCCAGTCGTCTTATATGCCGGAAAATATGGTATTTTTAACGGTGCCTTTCTTCTTGTAGCCTTAACAGGTGGCAGCAGTTGGTTGCTCTTTTTTTAGGCTCAAGAAAATAAAATAAAAAACAACCCTCCCTCCCTGAGTACCTCAAACCTAATTATTACTTGGGTTTGAATTATCTAATCCTCTCAGACTAGATAAAAACTCGTCTGAAGGGAATAGTAAAGTCTTCACATGCTGTTCCTGTGAAATTTGCATGAAGTTACCATGAGCCGAGTTTCATTGAAGAGTATTTATTTTACTTGCAATTAAACAACGGATACTAAGAGTCTGTATATTTTTTTTCACTTAATAGGCAACTACAACCGATAGGTGCTTTTCTGGAAATCTTGATGTTTTAATATTATTTGAATTAATATTAATAGGTTAACGAACCAAAGGCAGTTGTTTGAGGGACCCTCAAACATCTATCAGGAAGAGTATATTATGGGTCCCATCTTCCAAGAAGTTCCACCTGAGGGGAACAAAAATATAAGCTTTTTCTGCTGTGGTTCCGGCTCTCTGGAACCCAAGTGAGCTTGGCCCTGTTCCTTTTCCAGCTCTCTGAAAACCCTGTAATAAAACATGGTTTCCCCAACAACCATAGGGAACCTGCAAGATGGTCACACTATCGGATATTGATATTCTCCCCCAATCCTGGTTTCTATTTGTGTTTAATTTTTAAATTGATTGTAATATTTGTTTCTTAATCATTTGTTTACTGTATGCTGCCCAGTGAAATGGATAATTATATAAATTTTCTAAATAAACAGTGGCTTTCTATTATCAACGAATCCTTGATAACTTGAATCATGCTTTGATTCTCCATTCGATATCTTTTAAGAAAAATGTTTTACCTATTCAAAATCTTTCATAGCTCGTTTATTCTACAGCAGCCTACAACTGGATCAATAAAAGCTTTTACCTATTCAAAATCTTTCATAGCTCGTTTACTCTACAGCAGCCTACAACTGGATCAATAAAAGCAATCTTCATTTTCAAGCTTTACAATCTCAGTCATTTAATGCAAAGGGAATGGGGAAAGGAAGGGAATAAAATATTTGGGCAGCAATCAGAGACAGTTCAAGGGAAGGCAGGATGTGCTGCTACTATGGCCTCTAAAGTGCTGCCAGACCATGGCTGTCGCTAAGTGACAATTGTGGATGGGAGACCATGTAATGTTGTAAGTTTGCCATTATTTTAAAGCAAACTCTGTCCTCAAATTTTTGTTGAAGGTAAAATGTAAGTCAAAAGATAAGTGATGCCCAGGTCCTTCTCAATGAATAAATATGTTACTGTGCTAATTGGGGGAAGAAAATGATTGACATTAAGAGATGTTTGCTTACGAGATAGGTAGAGCTTTATTGTAGTGAAATAGATTGTGAAATTCTATTATACAAATAGAAGTTATTTGTATAATAGCAGTGGTATTTGATAAAAACCCGCTGAAATAATTGCCTGCATCTCCCTATTAAAACAAAAAATGATAGGGTGATATATTAAAATTATTGACCAATCATTGTATTATGTAGTTTCCACAATCAAAATTTTCCTGAGGACTTTAATCTAGAAAAGAAATCTTCCCATAAATATATCTGTCTACACAGGGCCATGAAAGTTGTGTCATGATGATGATTATAGTGAGCTGACAGTTCATACTTTTTTTTTTTTAAATTACTCAACTTAGGTAGCTTTTTTCTGGCTGGGAAGAAGTGTGCTTTTCTAAGAAGGCATTTTTTCCCTTCTTGTACAGCCTACCACTTGTCTTTTTTTTTTTTTGGAATGACAAAACAAAAACCCTACCCAAAAACAAAAAACCAAAACAATAAAAAATCCTGTAATCAGGTAGCAACTTAGCAACCATTTGCTTAGCAACCATTTGAAGTTATGACAGACTCCCCAAAAGCTATTTACAACCAGCTTTCAAAGTTTCAATGTTGCCCTGCCAGTCATGTGACTGTATTTTTGGCGCTCAGCAACCAGCCACACTTATGGCAGTTTCCAGCATCCTCCAATTATGTGACCACGATTCATGACTGTTTGCTGGAAACAGGCATTTATTTCTGGTTTCCAGCAATGAATTTGCTTAATGACTGTGGTGTTTGCTTAACAAACCATGGTGTCTGCTTAATGACTGTCATGAAAAAGAGTTTAAAAAAATGGGTCTGGTCATGTGGTTATCCACTTTACAATTCTCACAATTTACAACTGTAATTGCCAGGTTCAATTACGTGCTTAAGTCAATGACTACCTGTAAATGAATTTCTCTACCTAAACATAGATTTGGTCTTGAAACAAATATTTTTGGTTCTTTTCTCCTCTCAATCTAAGCTAATTTCTTCTCCTCCTTTCATGGACCTTCAGCAACATCCTCGGGTTACTCAATGGAATGCAGGCTAAATATCTAACAAACATTTTACATAATATATGTGCCTATTTGATAACTTTTTAAATAAATACAGCAGATATGATGAGAAAATAAAAATTACATCCAAATAAGGTCAGTTGAAACAGTGTAAAAGCTATATATGTATTTATTGTATATCTTGAACGATGCTATATAATTGGCCTTACTGTACAATGCAGTAATTGAAAATGCTCAAGTGTGTCAGAGATCCTAGATAAGTACTGCAAACTTGAGCCACACAATACAAATTATACTTTGGCATTTCTGATAATTTAATTTATAGGAATTATATAAAGAAATAAAAGCTTGGAACGATGCAATGTGGGACAGTACTTGCCTCAAGCAGTTACATAAAACTTATCAGACCATTTTATAAATACATCACACATACTGTCACTGGGCATGCCATTTACTTTATTCAGCTTTTACAACAAAGCTACAGTTTGATTAGTTTAAGCACCATTAGCAAAGACTAGTTTTCCTCTACCACAATCCTTCAATCTGGAAAGAATATTCTGGCAGCAGACATTTACTGCATGCATCAAACTATTCAAGTCTGTATTAGGCAATATATTTTATGTACATTTGCATTCCATTTCTCTTTTATGAAGTAGCCTCTGTCATAAAGGTGTGATAGGCAGTATTTATTTGCATAGTCTTAAAATTAACCTTGTGCAATATTTTCCCCATCCTATGTGTGTATATGTTTTGATGAATGTTTTAACATTACTTTCTATTAAATATTCTGTAATGAGCCATGGATTCCCCGTACCCCTCCAAATCACATACAAATCCACAGGGGCATTCTTAGATAAAATTAGGGATGTGTTACACTTTGGATCCAAAGCTGAAAAAGTACTTCAGAGTGGGCACAACACATGAATTTTCCTGGAGTACTTCAGCAAGTCCAAAAGAAGACAGCTTTTTTAAGGAGATGTGATACAAGACATGTTCACTCTGAAACATGATTTTGATTTCATATCCAAAATGTAACTCATTCCTAAACGAAAAACTATGATTCAAAGCTAATACAGTACTTCAGAGTGGGCACAAAAATACATGCATTTTCCTGGAATTCTTCAGCAAGTCCAGAAAAAGTCAGTTTCTTTAAGAAGGTGTAAACATAAGGGATATAAGCCCCATTCACTCTGAAACATGCTTTTGACTTCAAATCCAAAATATAACTCATGTCTAAATGAACTAGTACTTTAAAACATGATGCAGTGTTGATAGTTTTCTGACTTCACCTTGACTATTGCCATTTAAAGAATCACTAAAATTTCATATTTTGTTTGATAGATATTTGCTTAATTTTGCAACACCAGAACATTTTGCTAATTTTTGTATTATATAAAACTGTGATTATTAAAAAGGGTGTTACAGTACCATAAATTCCTTATCTGTATAAAAAAATCACTTCATTATATACATATATATCTATATCTATTAGTAAACAAAAAGCTTCTCAAACAAAGCAAGGTCAGCAAGGTAATATCAGAACTTTGCTGGTTAAATCAGTCTTCCTGAATTAAACTGAATTTCAGTGAATATTAATGTGATGTGTCAGTTACAGCTTACATTCTAATAAACACTGAACAAAAAGGGAAGAGCCTGATTACCACTACATCATAAGACTTTGCTAAGATGTTTGGTTTTGTTGATTACATGGCAGATCAAAAAGTAAAACCAATTTAGTTTAGATTTAAACAATTATTATTTATAAATACAAAATCAAATAAGCCACAATTCAACAGCAGCTTTCAGCAATAGAGCTGCTTGCGCATATTGGTAAAACCAACCTTTTTCACTTAGTAGTGTAGAAGATTCCAAAACAATTGATTTAAATACACAAAATTACGGTGTCAATCTCTTTGTATTTAAATAGTGTCATATGCTTTGAAGTATAAAACAACTGCAATGTTCTTATTTTCTTCAACTGGTCATAGTTTTGGTTGACTCTCCTTTACTTTTTCTTCCAGCTTAGAGAGGATCCACTGCAGAAATTAAAAAGAAATTTGAATAAACCTGACTTAAAGCAAAAGTGATTTAATTAATAAAATGGGGGGGAATTTACAAACTAATGAAGCTTATAGCTAAACACTGAACAATTCGTATGATGTCATGAATCTCATAGCTGACATAACTGTGGATCACCTGGTTAAGCCACACTTGGATGAAAGTAGTTTCTCTGAGAAATGTCACACCCATGCCTTACTACTTCTACTATGAAAAATTTGATACCAGGATTATGCAATCTGGGCACTTCAGATCTATCTGCAACTCCTAGCATCACTAAGCCGCATCGAAAAAGAGCAATGGGAATTGCAATTAACAACTTCTGAAGTACTTATACAATATCCATATAGCAGCATGCTGGGTTTGTACATTACATTCAGTTTTCCTTCAAAACAGGATATTAATATATTATGTAGTAATAGCATTTCATATTCACCTTTGCATCTTCTGGTGTTTTAAAATTAATTATTTTTCCAAATTCTTTGGCATGAAATACAGACTTCACTCGTTCCTGAAATAAGCAAACAAATACAGTTGTGCATTAAAAGCACATTTCCAAATACCCAGCAGCACTATTTTTTTCCATTTCTAGAAAAGGATTCACAAGTTAAATAATGAAATTAGTATTTGTTTAAAATGTCTTTTAAGTTTTGCAAATCTCCCCCCCCCCTTCCAACAACCTGTGACTGGCTCCCAAATTCAAACCTTTTTTCTGAACATTTAGAGTGCTCAGTGGTGGGATGGGCAGCATCTATTTGCTGCAGTTAGAGCAAAAGATGCATCAGAAACCTTCTTAACTTGATATCCTCAAATGCATTGGATTTCAGCTGATTTAGCACAGCTGGAGACCACTAGATTGGAAAAAAATGCTATGCAGCAAGAGAAAATCTTCTCTACGACAGCAGACTACATAAAACTGTTCTGCAGCAAGCTGAGACTCTTGTGCATATATAGCAGAATAGGCATTTTGCCAATTGTTATAATCTAAATAAATAAGCTAAAGGTTTCATATAAAGTTTAGTAAAACAATAAATTAAATATTAATTTATTGTATAAGATGAATTTTAAGTATAGCTATATAAAATCTTTTGAGAGTATTGATTGAGAAAGGACTCCAAATGCAGTTGTAAAATAGGACAAAGGGTGGACAGCATTTAAATATGTGAAGGAGAATCATTTTATTCATTGTTCTGGCATGTTAAACTCTTGCAAATTCATTTTGCAAGAGTTTAACTCAGAAGTCCAGTTTAGCATGGGAAAGTTTCCGCATCTTGATTTATGCAATGATCTAAATGCTCTTAAATGAAAAAAATGTTTATTATTAAAGCTTCTTTTTTGTATGTAATATACAGGTAATATCTGACATG